CTTCTAAGGAGCATTCTGACTGTACTTCTTCCAAGACAGATTTGTTCTTTCTTCTCGCAATACATGGTATATTCAGTACTCTTCACCAACACCATAGTTCAAAAGTGTCAATTCTTCTTTGGTCTTCCTTATTCATTGTCCAGCTTTCACATGCATACGAGGTGATTGGAAACACCATGGCTTGAGTCAGGCGCACCTTAGTCCTCATAGTGACGTCTTTGCTTTTTAACACTTTAAAGAGGTCTTTTGCAGCAGATTTGCCCAATCCTATACATCGTTTGATTTCTTGGCTGATGCTTACTTTAATTACTGCCTTACTCTATGACAAACAATCTTCACGCTTTTAAAGAAATGGTCAATAAAGCTCTAAGGAAGGTCCCACCAGAGGGAGGAAAGAGACTCAGAATAAAAAAAATGTATTGTTCAAAAATCTCGTAAGTGTCATGTGAAATAACTTTGTCCTGTTATCCTTTAAGTAATTGATAATACCCACAAAAATACAGATCCATTCATTCAACAAACATTCATTGAATACCTAAGATGTGCTTTCATCCGGAACAGTAAAGTAGTTGGAAACATTTGAAAATTGAAAGGTAAGTGAATTAAAATTCACATTACATTAAGTTTGCATATTTCGTTTACACGCAAACCAGATTTTATTGTAATTTTGCTCTCTTGGTTTTAACAGATGCTAACACATCAAGGGAGTGAAAATGGTTAAGGGCTTGACTACTAACTGAGAAGCTGGCTGTTCGAATCCACCCAGAGGTGCCTCTGAAAAAAGACCTGATGATCTCCTTCTGAAAAATCAGCCACTGAAAACCCCATGGAGCAGTTCTACTATGCATACACGTGTTTACTGTGAGTTGGGGTTGACTCAATGGCAACCTTTTTTTTTTTAAAAAAAAAAACTCCTTAATAATACTTTCAAAATTGACTTCTTGAAAAAAATTAACTATTAAAAATTACACAAAAACATGTACTTAGGGGTGTACATTTTTCCTTTTGTTCCAGGCTCCATTATGACCTGACATAGCACTGAACAATCTGTTTTTATTTAAAATTTGGATATTTTGTTCATTATTGATTTTCTTGCATTGATTTCTATTTTTTAAAAAAATATTACATTAACATAGTAGCTATCTTGTCTGTGCCCTGGTGGCATAGTGGTTAAGAGCTCAGCTGCTAGCCAAAAGGTTGGTAGTTCAAATCCACCAGCTGCTCTTTGGAAACCCTGTGGGACAGTTTTACTGTCCTATAGGGTCACCATGAGTCAGAACTGACTCGACAGCACCTAAAAACAACAACAGTCTTGATTGTGCAGGAGTCCCTGGTTAGCTTGGCTGCTAACCAAAAGGCTGGAAAATCCAATTCACCGAGAGACATCTTGGAAGAAAGCCCTGGTGATCTACTTCCAAAAAATCAACCACTGAAAGCTCTGTGGAGCACAGTTCTACTCTGACACACATGGGGTCACCATGAGCTGGAGTTGACTCGATGGCAACTGTTTTTTTTTTAATCTTGATTTTTTAGTTTTTGGCACCCTCTTAAATTTTGTGCCTGACGCAAGTGCCTCCATCAGCTTAGCCTGGTCCTGGTCCTGACTGTGAACTTCTGGCACAGATTCACAGCCTATTTTCCAGGAAATAGAACACCATCATCAGCGTCCGTTGCTTAATAACAATCTATTATCAATAATAATCTCTTAGTCACGCTAGTCTAAATGTAAAGAAAAAACCATATTATGGCAGTACCAGGTGTTCACGCCCATATAGGGAATTACCTTGAGAATACCCTAGAACAGGTAGTGCCCATGTATGATGGTTAAGGTTGTGTGTTAACTTGGCTGGGCCAGAATTCTCAGTGCTTTGGCGGTTATTGTAATGATCTGGTTTGGCAGTTATGTAATGATGTAGTCATCCTCCATGATGTGATCTGATGTGATCAGCCAATCAGTTGTAAGGGGCGTTTCCTCAGGGATGTGGCCTGCATCCAATATATATGGACGTTCTGGCAAAGCTCGCTTGCTTGCTCTCGATCCTCCATCTACCTCGTCATCATCTGACCTCTGGTTCTTGGGACTTGAGCTAGCTGCTTGCTGTATTGCCTGCCAGTCTCAGGATTCATAAGCCTCTGCAGCCTGTGAGCCAGCAACCTGCTGTCTGACCTGCCAATCTTGGGCTCATCGGCCCCTGCAGCTACGTGATTTAGGAGAAGCCTCCAGCTTGATGACTGATCCATAGACTTCAAAATTGCCAGTCTCTACAACAACAACATTAGTTGAAGAAAAAAAATTATAACTGTAGAAAAACTGTCAAAAATTCCCAAACTCAAAAATAAATCATAAGAAATATAGTAATTTGAAGTTTACTTAAGGTTTACTCATGAAAAAGATTACCATCTCTCTTAGTTATCTAGTGCTGTCTTAACCACAATTGGGTGGCTTTATAGAACAGAAGTTTATTTTCTCACAGTTCTGGAAGCTAAAATTTCAATCAGGGTCTCAGCTGGGTCGACTCCTTCTATGAGCCTCTCTCACAGTTTCTGATATCTGCTCGCAATCCTTGGCATCCCTTTGCTTGTACACAATCCTTACATGGCATCTGTTTTCCCCTTGGGTGTACCTCTATGTCTATTCTCCCCTTTGTATTACTCAGAAGTCATGCCACCCTACATTGGCGTGGCCTCATTAACATAACAAAAGAACACTCCTATTTCCAAACAGGGCCATATTTACAGGTACCAAAAAAATCAAACCACTTGCCATCAAGTCAATTCAGACTTAAGAAGACCCCATGTGTCAGAGTAGAGCTGTGCTCCACAGGGTTTTCATGGCTGTGACTTTTTGAAAGCAGATTGCCAGGCCTTTCTTCTGAGGTGCCTCTGGGTGGTTCGAACCGCCAACCTTTCAGTTAGTAGTCAAGTGCTTAACCATTTGCCCAACCCCAGCTGTACAATATCAGATAGAACTTGCCATTTTTTCCCTCAGTGTTAGACCTCTTTATCATCAGTATTCAATTCTTGTTGTGTTATGCTTCTGTGATCTTAAGTAATTAATAATTCCAAACTCTGATAAAAGTATTTTATGTGTAACTTGAAACCCTCAAGTTGCCTCTGCCTATACTACAAATGGAGCCCTGGAGGCTCAGCGGTTAAGTGCTTGGCCGCTAACTGAAAGGCAGGCAATTCAAACCCATCCAGCGGTTCCTCGGGAGAAAGACCTGGAGCTCTGCTCCTGTAAATATTTTAGCCTAGAAAACCCTATGGGGCAGTTCTACCCTGTCACATGGGGTCACTATGAGTCAAAGTCGACTCGACGATACCCAGCATCCACAGCATGCTACAGATATGGATTAGTAACACAAATGTCTCAATTTATGTAGCTAGCTTTTTTCACCACAGGACCTCAGATTGTCTTTTTTCCACTTTCCTTTCTCTCAGCAATATCCCTTCTCAGGGGTTTGTGGTAGTTGCTGAAAAAGATTCTGGTGTCTTCTCAGGAATACATCTCTCTCGTGTTTGTCTCTTTTGACCTCCTCATCAAAGTTCCTCACATGTCTTCCCCAAGTACCTGCCCCGCTCTGCATGGTGGTCTTCACCCAGGGCCAAGTCAAGTCCACAGAATGCTGAGGTTCATCCTAACCTGGGCGGCAAGGAGCAGGTCCTTTCCAGCATGGGGCTGTCATGGTCTTCTGGTCCCCAAAACTACTGTGATTGGACACAGAGTTACACCTGACTCATACACACCACTGCACAAATTAAAACAAGTCTACAAGAGCCAAAATACGACCCTGAGTATATCCCACATGAGTTTAGAGACCATCTCCCGAATAGATTCGACACATTAAACACTAATGACTGAAGACCGGAGGAGTTGTGGGATGATATCAAGGACATCATACATGAAGAAAGCAAGAGGTCGTTAAAAAAGACAAGAAAGAAACAAAAGACTAAATAGATGTCAGAAGATGGCACCTAACAATAGCAAGAATACACACACCACTGGACCCTCTCTCATCCCATCTGCTATGGATTTATTTTTGTTCCCCTAAGGGTGTGTTGAAATCCTAACCCCGTCCTTGGATGGTACAAAAGGTTAAGTAATTGACTACTAACCAAAAGGTTGATGGTTCAAACCCACCCAGAGGTGCCTCAGAAGAAAGTCCTGGTGATTTGCTTTCGAAAGGTCACAGCCTTGGAAATCCTATGGACCCCAGTTCTACTCTGACACACATGGAGTGCCTTGAGTTGGAATCCACTTGACTGAAACTGGTTTGGTACCTGTGAATGTGACCCCATATGGAAATAGGGCTTTTCTTCAGTTGGATCAAACAAGGTCATACCAAAGTAGGATGGGTCCTAAACAAAATCCCTTCTGAGTAGTGTCTTATAAAGGAGAGAACAGACACAGAGAGACAGTCACACACAGAGGAAAGAGGGCATGTGAGGATCCATCTACAAACCAAGGAATGCCAAGAAACACCCCAGTAGCCCAAAGCTCAAAGAGACAAGGAATGATCTCCTATGGGGGTAGAACCTAGCCCTGCAGATGCCCTGAATTCCAACTTCTAGCCTCCAAAACTGTGAGACAATAACTCTCTGCTGTTTAAGACAACCCACTTGTGGTATTTTTGTTACAGCAGCACTAGGAGACCAAGACACCATCGCTTCAGTTACAGGGACAAAACGCAGTCACTTAGGTTAACGGGAGACACAGACACACTCTAATGTTTGCATTGTCTTCTCTCTCTTTTCATTTTAGGGAAGACCTCTGCTCATGCAGGTTGGGGTTTTGAAGGGAGAGCGTCTTAGCTTCTTCGTGCTGCTGAAACAGAAATGTAAGTGGGTGGCTTTAACCAAAATCCATTGCTGTCAAATTGATTCCAACTCATAGTGACCCTATAGGACAGAGTAGAACTGCCCCAAAGGCTGTAATCTTTACAGAAGCAGACTGCCACATCTTTTTCTCATGGAGCAGCTGGTGGGTTCGAACCACCGACCTTTTGGTTAGCAGCTGAGTGCGTTAACTATTGCATCACCTAGGGCTCCTTAGTAACACCACATTTGCAGAACCAGTAGTCCCAAGGTCCAGACTGTGGCCCGTTTTGTGCCATAAAGAGGGTGAAGATGATGATGGTAAGAATTCCTCACTACCCATTTGGAACGGATTCTTTAAACATTATGTGGAAATTCTAAGTCTTTCCCAACTCTGTTTAAATAACTCAGTACCCCTCAAAGAACCTCATGAACTACCCCAACCTGTCCCCAAATCCAAAGTCCCCTGTCAATGACAGGTTTTTATACATATCTGCTAACATAGAAATCCAAAGAAATATTTCTAATACTGAAACTTAAAAAAATTAAATTAACTATGTCAATGGTCAAGAATTTCCTCGAGATGTGATTTTTCTGTGGATGAACTTACCTGAGGAGTGCCTTTCTAATTTGGTTTTCTCATCTGTTATTTAGCTCATGCTCCATTTTTATTTGACAAAAAAAAATCTTGCCTTTCTTTAAATCAGGGTCTCTCCCCCCACCACTGTTGACATTTGGGGCTGGATCATTCTCTGTGGTGGGGGCTACCTTGTGCATTGTAGGGTGTTGAGCAGCATCCCTGGTCTCCACACTAGATATCAGTACCACCCCCACCCCAAGTTGGGACAATTAAAAATGTCTCAAAAAAAAAAAAAAAAATCAAACCAGTTGCCATCACATCTACTCCAATTCACGATGACCCCGTATGTGTCAGAGTAGAACTGTGCTCTGTAGGGTTTTCAGTGGCTGATATTTGTGATGTAGACCATCAGGACTTCCTTTGGAGGTACCTCTGGGTGGCCTTGAAACTCCAACCTTTCGTTAGCAGCCGAGCCCATTAACCATTCATTGCCAAATATCCCCTGGGAGCAAAATTACCTTGGTTAAGAACCACTGCTTCAAATGTTTTTTTAATTTTTTTTTATTGTGCTTTAGGTGAAGGTTTACAGAACAAATATTTTCTCATTAAACAGTACACACATTGTTTTATGACATTGGTTA